AAAATTATAAAACAATCACAGCAATCAGAGCTTTCAAGTTGAAAGAGGGGGAAAAAAGAAATCTGAGTAATATGTGTCACAAGAATGACAAAGAAAGGGAGAGAAAGTGGCTATGAGAGGTGATGGATGGAAGGAGATGCTGACAGAAATTTCACATTAATACTCTACATTAAGAGCCCATATGATGAATAATTAATCTGCTGGAAAGTGTAGCAATTTTTGCTCCTGGCAGGCTAATGCAATGTGAAAAAAAAACACCCCTGTGGCTGTGGCTATGAATGTATACAGAAGTTTCATGGACTGTAAATTTGCATAACTGATTTTTAGCTGGTTTTTTTGTGACACTTATAACATAAAGGCACAATTACATCTCTGAGCGCACAAGCGTCAGCTGTATATAATCAAAGGTTATCTGACAATGCAGTGTGTAATCTTCCGAGCTGATGTGAAGTGTGGCGTGAGAAATTGGAGTGTATTACTTTGACTGCGCAGTGACTCAGCTTACATTAAATCCTAGATAGAAGAGTGGCACTCTTGAATCTGGTTGGTCCCAGCTGGAGTGTTGCCGTCTGCCTGCTGTCTGTCAGTCTGCTGACTGTCAAAACCCACACAATATGTCAGGTTGATACCTACGACTATACGCTCTACATGCATGGGCCTATGCATGTCTGAAATAAGCAGAATAACCTGGGACATGTGTTCGGATTAGGAGAAATGTTAGGACTGCGAATGCGTCCATACTTGTTGATAGATTGTGAAGGAGCTTTGCACAATAGTTCTCCCCGTGAGCAAAGCCCAATCCCTTTTACCTCATAACCCCACATGCACTCATGTTTAATTTAGATGAAGCACACACTGCAACACAACTTTTGTTTGACAATGAAATGTTTCACTTTATCTTTTCTCTGTTTATCTTAACCCATCTGGATTATTTCCCCATACCTCCCCGTCTTGCTCTCTCACTCCTCTTCGGGAAGCTTCTTAGAATAAATATGACCGGAAGGAAAAGTTTTTTTTTTCTGTGTTTCATTCTCTTGCTTTTTGACTGTATCAGAACAAAGAGCTTTTGTTTACTTATTTATACGTTTCTCATTTGTTTCAGAGATCATTTGTGTAACAGGGCTCATTGTGTCCCCCGTGCACCCTGTGAGCTTACAGCTGGGATTCGTCAACAAAGTGGGCTCACATGTGAGTCCATGTTTGTGTGGTTTCACATGTACGTTTGACATGTAATTTGAAGCGACACCCGCATCTGTATGTGCTCGTTTGAATTAATGTATGCATCTGAACATGTATGTGATTGGGTGCGAATTGGCTCTTCACACTTCTCTGTGTAAAACTGACACATTCATGTGAGAGAAATCCCATAAATCATTCATATACTTTTGGGACTTTCTATGAAAATGTGTGTATGATGAAATACGTGAACAAATCTCTCTTTCTCTACATCCAACCTCGCTCTGCTGTACTACTGTATGTAACCTTGCTGACACTAGCTCAACAGATAGCGCTGTGAGGGTGCTGAAATATTGAGATAAAAAAAAACAGGGTCTGAAACAGAGCTGAACAATTACAAAAGACATTGTTAAAGAAAAGAAGAACAAAAAAAGCTGTAGCTATCAACACTTTATCTTCTAGGTGACGGACCCTGTTATGAAGTGCACACAATGCAGATGCCTCTGTTTCCATGGAGACCTATTGTGATCCCCAGCACCCACCATACTTGCAAACATTCCTCTGAATCCTTTTTTCTCTAAGCAAATACACTTGTGGATAGTTGCCAACATGGGCATGAGGGGTCAAAGGTGATCTCATCATCAGTGCTACCATGATGCTGGGCTCAAATAACGTCACAGCTGCCTTTTTAGCTGCCTGCCTGTGCAAACTGTGCCATCACTCGCCCATGCAATAAGGAGTCTGTGGAGAACTGAGCTAAATTTAGGTGCAGCAATATGTAGACCAGGTGTAATGCACATGGCCTACCTAGCCGGCTCTGTATTAATTCAGCTGCGGTGGACCTGGATAGACCTGTGGAGAAGATGAGCCAATAGCCCACATGCTTCATACCAGTGTCTAATCCCATTCTGGCTTACTTTTTGTAGGCAGCAGTGTCTGCTAAAGCCTTTGTTTTCTCTTTATAAATATGCTAAAAGCTGTCTCTGTTTTCTCTTAATGCCTTGACACAGTTTAAGACAGAAGGATGAATGAAAAAGAGCCCATTTTTCATTAACACTTTGCTTAACTGTTATTCAGATGAGAAGTTACGGTTTATTAACGTACTGTACTCTGTAAACATCTTTCTCAGTGCCTCTGGGCTTAGACCCACTTCACCAGTTGTTCAGGAAGTTTTATCTGAGCTGAAATCCACGAGCACAGCAAAGGGAGAAAAATCATTTTTACTGCTTCCAAAAAAAAACGCTATTCATGTTGCATTCAGGCAGTGTTCGGAACTTGCAATTCCCAGTTGATAAAGAGAATACCAGATGGGTCCATTGCAATTACTTTTTGTATGCGCATGCAAAGGCCTGCTCATTTATTTATGTATTACAAAGAAGGGAGCTTTGGGTTTCACTAAGTTTGAGCTTTTGGGGTTCTATATTTCTGTCCTTTTCCAGAAAGCAACGCTCTTTCATAGCTTCCCCACCAAAGCAGTATTATCTCATCGTGTTACTTTCTGTTTCCGTGCAAACTCCCATTCACCCTGTCTATTTTGAGATCCTCCAAAATATTGCAGCAAGAGAGTCGTGCAAATCAATAAACCTCAGCATATGTCAAAGTAATGCTTGCTTTAGCTACTTACGATCTGAATCAAAGAGGGATGGAATCTGCAACCTGCAATCCCTGAAAGGTGAATTGTTGTGTGCTGGTGGGGGGAAAGAAGTGTTTGTTCTGATAGTTCCCAGGCAGAGTGGCACCTCATTATGCTGATTGCCAGTTGTGCGTATGGCAGTAGGAGTAGGGGGAAAATAAGGTGGTGTGAGTGATATAAAATGTCTGCCTATAACACACTGACTGCTGGGTTGAATTATGCATGAGAGAGTGACTTTTGTGATCAGCACAAGACAAGTAAACACCATAAATGAATAGGCTCGTATCAGAAAAAGCGTTTGTTTCCTTTTTTCCTTTTGAAAGACCCTATCATTACACACTTTAATATGCAGTATAATGTGATTTGGTGCCATAATGATGCATGTCAGCCCTCAAAAGGTGGTTAAACTTCACCCTGCAAAATAAAAAGCTGAGGAAAATTGGTAGCTTTGGAGGTTTAATTACCCTGCACTTGGCTTAACCCATTCAAACCATCATGGCCTAGAATTTGAATTTCAAAAATGCAAATGCGGCCTCACCCATAGTGGACGGTGTCCCACGCTGCCGGGGCGTGGTCTTGGATAGGGGGGGTGGGGGCAGACAAGGCAGCACGCTGTTAAGTTTTCAAACTGCACAGGCAAACAAAAGTGGCAAGCAGGAAGCAGGGGAATAACCTTGGGAGAAGAAATGCGGTGGACTGTTTCAGTCTGGGACCAGATCACAGCATTTGTCAGACAGATTATAATTAAGCAGTAGTGTTTGAACTCATGAGTAAAGCAGCTTTTTTTTTTTGGAGCTGCTAAGCCGTCTTGTCGGAGACATTTTTACGCATTGTGACTGAGGACACACCGGCTCAGGTGTATTGGTGGTACAATTAAGATCCCAGTGTTCGGAGTTCCAGTATTCATTGATTAATCTGATTTATTGTGTCAGAGCACAAAGCCTTGTCTGCTTCATCTAGAGCGCCCGCCCATTGGGCTTTCTGCGGAGCGATAGTGGGAGATTGATTATAGTCTCCGGGATTTGCCGTGGAGAAAGCCAGAGCCTGCTTGGACTGCGATTTGCTCTCCCATCAGCGAAGGGGAGGAAAATTATAGCAACGACTTATTTCAGCCTGACTCCACACGGACAGCACTCTCTGATCCCTCCTGTGCGCATTTAAGCCTCCTGTCTGTAATCAGGTTTTTTTTTGTGTCTCCAAATACGCGCAAGACAGTCACGCCGGACTTTTGTCTTTTACCGAGGAGGCTGCGAGTGTGAATCGCCTCCGCAGTCTCAGATGCGTAGTAAACGGAGAGTGGGTTGGGTCGCCTAGGCGCCTGGCATACGCACACGTCGTCAGCGATAAAAGCGAGATAGGTGAGGGGGGGAAAGAGACACCCCGAGGCTTTTCATTGCAATCAGGAGGACACCGGAGAGGTGAGTCGGACACTGGCAAACCGCCGGACTCGCACCGGCTTGTGGATTTGACTCTCAAGACAAATCCCAGCCGCTTTTGTCGCTCGGGGATCCGCAGATCCTCTGATTCAGGACCAGCGGTTAACCACACTGTCAAACCCGACCAGACATCCCCTCCTCATCTGAAGGGAATATTACAAGTGGATCTGCGGGGCAACACACAATGGCAACCGGTGCGCTCCTTCTTGCCTGTGCGCTGCTTGGTAAGTCATCTGAGGAAGCTCTCAGCCTTTCAGCCTTCATCTGTGCCGCTAATGTGCCTCTGTGTTTGGCTCATAGAGGCGCACCTGTGTGACACATGTGCATTATAGTTGGGCAAGCAACTAATAGTCATGGTGAGTCAGGTGGAAGTAGGCTACATCGATAATCACTGCGATAATGACAGATGCCCGTGAACAGCTGTGTGTGTGTGTGTGTGTGTGTGTGTATGTGCTGAACTAGGTTAATGTGATATTTGGACTTCTAGTCACAGATTAACCCTATACAGCCTGACCTCTTGTGTTCATGAACTGATCATATAGACATCCTGCCATTGTGTGAAGGTAACCTACACACACACATATAAATGTACACATACATACTGTATATATTACACACACATTATAGACACACCTGGATGACACACCACCAACACCCCCAGGCTATGAAGTCATCCAGTGGGTGTGAGGTAGGCTACCAGCTTTGTAAGCCATCCCTCCAGGGGTTAAAGCTACCATTCTCACACATTTCACCTGCAATTTATTGGATTTCACAGACAAAAGCGAGTTGGGGCATGCACAGCCGATGACACTGGGTGACACAACACAAACACTCACACAGGCATGATTGCTGACACACTCATACAGCACAGTGCATCCTGCCTGTGAACTGTCCCAAACAAACACCAGATGGCTTTTCTGTTCCTGGATGGGGAGGCCTGTCAGCGCTGCTGGGGGGACGGAGGAGGGAGGGCGGGAGTGGGAGTGGAAGTGACCCCGCTGGAGGCCCCCACTTGGCCAAGAGGATTACCAGTCTGTGCCTTGCCTCACGTCCCCTTTCCGCGCATCAGAAGTCACTTTCACTGGGATTGAGTGGGCTGTGAATGATTATTCTCCACGAAAAACGTGAGCTGTATTGTTCCGTGTACAGTACAGAAGACTGCACACAGTTAGACGACAGATCTTATCTACAGTGTAGGCTGGAGAACGGAGGGTTTTTTCAGATTACATAATAGCCATGAATCATATGGTTAAACGGGAAGCGGTTTGAGGTGTTGAAGAACATGTCAGGTGTTTGGAAAGATTTTGTTTTGTGTGGTGTGTCTGTGTGGCTCCCTGGCACAAATCACAGGAGGACTCAGGATACTTTCGCATGCTGTTATGACACGTTGCCAGCATTATTAGTGATATTAGGCTGGCAGATCTGCTATATGTAATACGCTTCAAAGAAATCCTCCAGAGCTGGAAAAATTAGTTGATTGACAGAAAAGAAATTGGCAACAGTTTTTGATGATCATTTTTAAGTTGTTTTGGAAGCAGGGATGGCAAAATGTTCTGGCTCGAGCTCCTCAAATCAAGTCTCTTATAATAGTACGCTGACTATCTTTAAGGCCAGAGTGCTGGTTAGACAAAATAAGACACTGAAGACGTCACATTGGGCTCAGGGACCTTCCAAATCAACTTGGCAAAAGGCTGATTTAATGCAACATTGGTGCCAGTCATGGGTGGATTATGAGACAATGGGCCCCTGGGCACAGATATGCAAAGGGCCCCACCACCTTTCCTACATAAAAACAAGAAACACAGACTCTGTTGAGGTTTTGCGTCTCTTTGTAGTCGTTATGTATCTTTTTGTGTGTTTTGGGGTTTCCTTGTGGTTGTTATGTGTCTCTATGAGGTATTTTTCTGTCTCTCTTTGGTCGTTTAGCCTGTTTTTGTTGTTATTTTATTCTCTTTGCAGTTCCTTTGCATCTCTTTGTGGTATTTTTCTGTCACTTTATGGTAATTTTGAGTCTCTTCCTTGTCGGTTTGTGTTAATGTGAGTGCCATTTTGCACTTTGGGCCCCTGAGCCTGTGCAAGGTAGGTGACTTCTGCGATCCATCCACCACTGTGCCAGTGTATAAATATGTTTGTATGGCAATATATTGCCATATCAATTGTTTATATGTCTCCTGGTGTGCATGCACAAGCATCTGTGTTAAATGAGATGTGCTTGTGTTTGTCTTTTGTATGTGATCAGCTGTCTGATTTCGCGTCATGTGTCAGCTGGCACGCGTGCTCGCACTTGCATTTGTTCAGAAGGAAGAAAGAAATAAAGGTGGATGACAGCTGTGTTAGATGGAGACTGTATCAGTCATTGTTAAACCCGGAGGTGCCACTTACACAATTTTTTGGCAGGCAAATCTTATATTGGGGTTATTTCTGCTGCTGAGTTTGCAACCAGGTGTGAGTGGGTGCGCTTGCGCATGCTTGTGGCACCGGGGTATATGATATAAAGCGTATAAAAAGAGTTGCCTGAAGGAACGAATGTTTATTAGCTTTACAAACAGGATGTCTTCCTTCCCCCCCTGCAGAGAGTGAGAAAGATGTCATGCGCCTTGTGTGGTGAAACAGAGTGTGCTTTTTTTGGGGTGTGCTTCTGTTTGTGTAAGAGTGTGTTTGAAACGTCCCAGTTTATATAACTAAATTGAAATGTAATATGTGCAAGGCTGGCTGGTTTAACTGTGAAATGCCTGAGTGGTTTCCATTTACCGGGCTGACAGGAGAGCAGCCTCCAGTTGCCCGGTTCAGATGAGATGTCACTGGTCCTGCTTATGAGCTGGTCTCAGAGCAGCTTGACATTGCACGGAGGGGAAATCTTAAAGCTTATGCCTGACAAGATGCACATTCTGCCACCTGCAGTTATTCACGCGTTTGTCACGATGTGATGCTTTACATATATATATATATCTTGATTATCTCTGCCAACTCAGTGAAACAGGTGCTGTTTTCACCCTGTTCACACAATATCTGAACTCGTTATGAATGCATTTGCACAAACCTTTGTCAGATGGTTGGTCGTGGGGATTGGAAAAATGTGATAAATAATTCATACATGTTGGCTAAAAGTGGGGTGTGGCAGTGGGTGTGGCCTCTTATTCAAAGGGAACATAACACAACCAATTAAACGACACAGAATCACACTGACAGCTGCAGCTTCATGTTATAATTCATCTTTTTTTAACCCTGCTGCAGCATTTTTTCCACATTATTTTCATTTCCATCCGTTGGTTTCCATTTATTTCTATAGGGTATGAAAATATTATCAGCAGACTTTAATCATACATTATGTCTGCGCTGATTTTTTGTTATTTATTATTACTGTGAGCTAAGTCAGCGCAGTGTTTTCAGATTTATCTTTGGTTAATCTGCATTTACAACACAGCAGTAATGAAACTTCACTGACACTGGAATGAAAAATAAGCTGCAGACTTGTGTTCACTGTGATGGAATACACAACTCAAGATGAATAGATTCATAAAGTTTAAACACTTTGGGAAAAAGGTCAGCAGTTATTTGAAATGTACATACATTTCACTTGCAAAAACAGTGGTATGATCCTTTAAAAGCGGCTTGTTTCTCCATCCTCCTCCTTCTCCTTCGTTGCTCCTCTGTCTCCTCGTGTGCGGTAGATGTTTTCTTGTTTCCTTTCAGTCATCCTTATCTTTTTAGTTTGACTTTTGATGCTATTTTTTGATCAGTGGTTTCAAGTCAGAAGCGACGCTGAAACAATAGCCTGTTATCCGGGCTCATTACAGTGCTATTGATTGAAAAGAGAAAAGTTTTAAGTAGTTGAAGTAACGCCATCAAACTTTGAGTTTGAAGCTGGCCCTCCATAATTGGCCCAATCAAACAACATGAAGGTACTTAAGAGCTCATTTCCATTTTCGGCACAAATATTGTGCCTTTCTTTTTTCTCCCAAACTTTTGTGCAGTGGAAGAAGGGCAGCACTTATAGCCACTTAAGTTAGGATTTGATTGTCCATGTGGTGCTGTGACAATTGTCAGAAATGCTTGAAAGTGGTTAGAGATTGAAGAATCTCATTTTCTATTTCAGACCTACTCATTAAAATGTGTTCATTTGTTAATGTGAATGAAGTCTATAATTAACAGTGGAGGAAATCTGGGACATGGAAGTGACAACTGTATGAACCTCACTTCTTGCCATCTATTTTTTTGACATTATGATGCAACTTAACGAAAAGGTTGGGAAGCTTCATTGTTTGCTTAAAGATATACTCTGCAGGGGAGACTCATACAGCAGTAATCCTTCTTAATCATCACATAAAAGTGTGCGGTGGTGTATTTTTCCACAGAGACTCTGCCTTCTGCCTGTATTTTCTTATTTTCTTTTTATTTTATGTGTTGGGAACATTTATGAGAGCGTACCCCCACAGTGCTTGGGTGAGTTGGGTCTTTATAAAAAGGTAGCGACCAGGTCCTAGACTGTTAACAGCAGGCATCCAAAGTCCTGTTTCTACCAAAGAGTTTCGGTATGGTACCTTTGGAACCACGAGTAACCCTTCAGACATGGTACCTAGACCCTAGCGTTTACATTGCAAAGATTAGTCTTTTATGTGGGCAGGGTTGTTGTCACTCACTGCTCCGTCCAGCACTCACGGATGGAAGTCTGCACCTCGTCTATCGTCCACAGAACAAAATACAACAGGCTGCAGTGTGAGTCTCTCTCCATGGGATGGTAAAAAATAGTGAGTTTGTGCATCTAGTCTAGTCCTTTTCAGGCAAGCTGGGTGGGTTTAGTGTTGCCGTGGCCCACAGCAACGATGCTCTGCGGCGCCTTTTTTGTCTCAGAATGAGGACTAGAATATATGCGATTCTCATAATCCTGTCAAAATTAATACATATAAACGCTTGAAGATCCACCCATTACTAAAAGTGTATGTCATATAAAAACTAAAGTGATGGTCAGAGTTGTTAAAGTGAAATTTAAGGTGTGCTGATTGATTCACATCGTCAACTCATACAAGTTAACGTTCCACCTTAAAAGTCACCGGCAGTCGGCCCAGTGAATTAAGTTATATTTTTCTCAGACTCCAGCTGCTGCAAGAGGCAGCAAAACATCCTTTCATTTTATAGTTACAGTAATAAAACCCTCCACAGTATGAACAGTGGTTACATGAGCCTCAAAACCAGCCACAACTCAGCCCTGAGCAGAGCGACCGTC